TAGAAACGCTGCCCAGTTCCGCTGGGAAAGTTCTGTCGTGAAGCGTGCGGGCCTAACTAAGTAGTTATCGATTACGAGCTTGGTCAGCGCTTTACAAAGATTCTTAAAAGCTCGTATTTATTCTTAAAATACTCATCAATACCTTTAAAAAAAATGTGTGCAAGGCAGATTCCACAGATTTACCCATTCAGGTAAGTGTGCTGAAAGAGCCTCAATCGCCCTCGAGGAATTATATTTCTTATATGCAGGGCAATCAGTGTCTCAAGTGCATCCAATTGCAAAGATGAGGCCCTGATTGGTTTATAGTCTTTCCAAAATACGTAAGAGAGTTTTCGAGATGTACCCAATTCTACGCAGCTCACGAAGGCGGGAGTAAGCCAGCGACACGAAACCTCCACAACCTTTTGCAGTTGTGCAGGAATAATGCCATCCAGTCCAGGTGACTTGAAGGGCTTAAAAGACTTAATCGCCTAGAGCAGTAGTTCATCAGAGAAAACTGGGCAGTCTACTGTACCAACACCGGTAGCCTCACACGTTGCAGAATTAGCTGGGAACTTACCATCAAGGAGTAGCTTAAGCGATTGCTCTCCTTTCATCGTCTAGTTGCCCCTCTAAATCAGCACGATTCATAGCAGCCTTCTACATTGTCCTACAGATATAGATTTATAAATAGAGCGTGTTGTTTCTTAGATAAAGGGTCGGTATTTGATGAGCTATTAATAATAGAAGGAAAAAAAATTAGATGTCGCCACTCAGACATGAAAAAACGCAAGCATTTACTGATAACAGTAAAAAGCCTGCCTACCGCAACACATTTACGTGAATGTATTATCGAGCACCCCTGTAGGAAAATTGTAAAGGACGTGCACATATTAAACAATTAGTGGCGTGGAAAATCACTATGTAGATAAGCGGAGATGGCCTTGATAGCGAACCGTTAATAGTATTTGTTTTTGTCGATTTTACAGCATCCACCATTCTATGATGCCAAGTACATTTTTATAGCTTCCATGAACATAAAATGGCATTATTACTCTGGTCCGATGTTTGTAAATACCAGAAGAAGAAGAGATAGACCCACGAAAAAGTATACCAAATGATCAGAACGCCGAACTGAGCCGATTTAGGCAATCTAGTTCCTCAGTTTTCGAAATATAAGGTCTACTGAGAAAATTGTGAAGATCGGTGCTGAATAAGATATATCTTCTCTATCACTGATTGTACAGATACAAGTTTTTGCGATATATCTCCTTTATGCAGGCAGCTAAAAACATTAAATATTTACTTATCGATTATACAAGGCCTACTGTGAAAACTACACACCTTTTGTGTTTAAATGACCGGTTACTTCTATCAGAAGGCGTCAGTTATTTGTTTAATTGCATTAACCAAAGGGAAAAGGTTTTGTTTCAAAATAAACATCTCATTTGTAGATAAGGTAAAAGAAATTTATAGCTCCCAAAACAACTAATTTAAAATGCAGTAAAAGGTTTAGGTAAAATTGTCTGACGTTCATGAAAAGCATGAAGCCTTCGGCATAGCCCAAAACAGGACCATTCATGCTTGTTTAAAGTGAATCGGTGCTACGATTTATGTACATAGTTAAACGGCGATTAGTTGAATCAAAAATGGGCTGTCCCCCCCAACTTCATTAGGAGCGATTAATTGAGAGGCCGTTCACACCAGGCGATTGTTGCTTTCAACTAAAAGTTGCCTGTAAAATCGTCTCATGTTAACACCGTATTATTTTTTCTTCATTCTTGTATTCCATCATACCTGGTGGAAAAATAAAATTTGTTGAGGGAAACATTTTGATATTTTTAGTACAATTTTTTTAACTAGTAAACCAATTTTGGTGTCATAATAAAAGAATAATGGTTAAACAATCGACTTATGATAAAAAGCTGGCACGATTAATTCTTAATACCATATAGCTAGATGTGTCTTCATATTCTTTAGTCTTTGCTGTTTAGAATAGGCCGCGCTTGCCATAAAAATACTAGGCGCTATGGGACTTCGTGATAACAATTTACCCTAGACTAATTGATAAGTTCGTACTATCTTCAAATAATATAAATTATGTATGACGTTGCTCTACGCTAAATATTTCTTGTTTCTTAAGAAATGAAAAAAAAAATAATACTACATCGCCAAATATAAAATGCGATTTGCGATTATGGCATCAATAAATATGGAAATTATACATTAATCGGTCAGTCTGTTTAAAATTAAGTTACATACATATTTGCACTGAGAAATGGTTTTTATTGGCTTGTTAAATAATGAGGGAATATACAGCTATGTACATACATACATACAAAACTTACATTTTATGCCATACAAAATTAAAAAAAAAAAATTAATATTTTCTTAAAAGTACTTACCTACTAAACTACAATATTTTAAGTTATTACGTATGTCTGTATGTTGTCTGGACTGACTAAGCAATTATGTACAGCTTTGGAGAGAACTGCAAGAGCTTTGATAAGTGTGTGAACAAAACCCTAATACGCGTAAAAAAGAGAATAACATGTGAGATATTCAGAACATAATGGCAAAATATGTTTTCCCACATAAGTATTTTATAATGATTGTTGTCGTACACAAAATATGTATAAAAGGGGTGATCCAAAATCAGGTGTCTACAAAATTTTTTAACGTTTTTCGAATAAATGTCGTACATATTTTTTTTATTGCTGATTCGGGACGTATGATCCCAGTAGTATAGCGTCATTTGTGACAGGAGTAATAGGCAGATTCCGCACCTTAGTCTCGAAACATCTCTTGAAGCTATGAATGGTTGGCGAAAGGCTACGGCTAGGTAATAGATGATGCGACGCACCTTTGCACTGACGGTTCTAATCGATGTAACTGGATAAGTAGGTTGGATTAGGAATTAAACATTAATTTCATTTCCTTTTATTCATTTTGTCGGGACCAATATACGACTTTTCCATAATTATCCCGAACTAAGCGCAAAATTGTCCTGACGTCGTTCGGAAAAATTCGGGATCTCGAAGCAGTCTAGGAATGGTCCCGCCGCAATGGTCCCTTATAACTTCCTAAATGATCTTCAAATAGCCCTTAGCATGCCTCGAAACGGCCAAAAAGTCGTGAACTTATACCGAAATGTTCTCGAACCAGTCCCGAAATGGTCTCTTATTAGTCCTCAAACTATCCCGAATTGGCCCTAAAATGATCGTAAAATAGTACTGAATTCGAAGTTCGAAATGAGCCTCAACTAGTCCCAAATTGTTTCTGAAATAGTCCTCAACTAATCTCGAAGTGGCCTAGCACTAGTCCTAAAAAGGTCGTCAAATAGTCGTGAACAGGTCCCTAAATGATCCCGAAGTAGTGCGGCGAAATGCCGAGGTGGTCTCGAAATGGTCTTGAAAAGGCCCTGAAGTAGTCCAGAAATGTCCATTTGTACACACAAGAAACAACTACAGAATTTCTGCTGGGCTACACAAGATGCTTTACATTTTCTGATGAGCTAATGCAATTTTTACCAATATGTTTACACATACAGCACAGTCACAGTGCTAGACAAAGGTGTAGAAATTTTCGACGCGCGTCACATTCTTTACATTATTGATAGATCTCTTAGATTTACCCAGACCTAAGTGAGCTTTGAAGACGCCTGCAGTCCAAGGGACAATTATGCTTTGACAATTATTTGCTTACTTCTCTCCTTACATTTGCGATAACCCTTTGCACGTTGAAAGTAGTAACATTTATTTCAGGCGATAGTAAAGTGAATGTATGTATGTATGTATGTATATATGAAGTCATTCGGAGGGATGTCGGAAAAATATCGATGTATGTTTTGATTCGGTACTTTGAAAATTTTCCACTCGATGTATCGAAGTTTTTGTTTGAAAACTGACATATCTAGTACACTGAAGCGTCATTTCAGTTTTTCAATTATACAAAAAAGAGAAGTGACTTTAATTAGTTCAGTTGCAGTAATTATATATTATATTTTGTTGTGGAATATTATCTAAAAAATCCAATGCGAATCGTTGATGTATCGAAAAATATCGATGTACGTTTCGTTGCATCGAATCAAAGAAACACATCGATGTATTTTTGCCACTGACATCCCTAGTCATTCGTCAAAGTGCAAAAAGCTTATCAGCAAAGTGCAATAATTTTACAGTACTCATTTATTCACGTTTAACCAATTTGTATACATAAATATATAGGTACATATGTACGTACATTAATTTTTTCATATTTATGTATGCCAGTTTATTTTCCATGCGCGGTTGTGCTGTTTCATTTGGGCAGCTTGTAAATAAAGCTTATTAAAAATTTTAAATTTTGAATTCTTCAATTTCTTACTTTATCGCACGGAGACTTCATACATACCTGACGGTCACCAAATATTTATGACCATAATTAACGCGATATTAAGTGCTTCTATTCGCGTTTGTATTCTTTTTATTGCCTTAGATGGCGCAGAACTTTCCTTTTGTTTTCAGTTCAATTGTTTTTTTTTTTGTTAATAAATTTCTTAGTTTACCTTATTTGTAGTGGCAGCTACCGCCGAACGCATACATTTACATAATTTAAAAGTACTAATCTTATTACCGTTAAAGCGAGCCTGTTAATCGCTATCGGCAGCCTATTGCCACATACCCAATTTGTTTTTTTTTTTTCTTATATAAAATCGTCCAACAGTAGCGCTATGCTGGTTATTTGGTAGTTGGGAGTTGCCGTGCTAGAAAGTTGCTACCTGCCGATCGGCATAAAAATTCCTAGCAGAAGGAATATTTCTTTCATTGCTGAAAGTCAAAAATCCTTCAACTTAAGAGCAACAGCGATCGCGTTAAGAGAAGTGTTTAGCCAGAGGAGAAGCAAGTGCTGCATACTCACAGTTGCGCTCAGTTGGAGCAACCACAGCATAATTGGCGCTCTGTTGTCGAGATCTCGACTGCACATTGGCGATCTCTGGATCACCGCGCTGTTGTTCTGTTGTTGATCTCAGTGCTATCACTAGCCTTCAGCATCTGCTACATATTTGCTTAGGCATCTGATGGCTGGCTGCACTGACTCGCCGTAGATACGAATAAAACGCCGGCAGGCACGGTGGTAAACAGAAAAATACGCGGCGCGGAATATCGATTTGCTAGTAAAAAATAATAATAAATAAATAAATAAAATCGCTTTTCGAAAAGAAAATGCTTGTGCTATTAAAAGTTGAAAAAGTGAATAATTTGGGTCGTGTGACGAACACTATGGGTGTCTAAAATAAAATATACAGAATTTATCAAATATTCATACACACATACAGACCAGTGTTACGTATGTACATACGTTTGCGGAAAACTTGCGAAAAATAGCTACATTCTGCCGTTCGTAATTAGTGTGCAAAAGTCTCATCCAAATAGGTGTCGAAAAAAGCGCCCTGGCTGTTGTGAAAAGTGGCCAAAAATGTTTATTTTTATTGAGGCGTGTCTTTGAAGATTTATGTGGATTTTTGTTTTATTTGTTTTGGTGTAAAGTGAATACTTTCAGAGGCCTTTTGTACACAACACGGAAGAGGAATTTTGTTTGCGATTCCAATGCAAAGAAGTGTTGCTTCAATTACAGTTGATTTAATATACATACATATAAATAGACAGCTGTAAATTGTTTTTCGCTTGCTATTCGGTAAGTAAAGCAACTTTCTTTTTTAAATAATATCCTATTTCAGTAAGATAAAATTTAATACACTGATATACATTGGCGGTCATTAGAATAGACTCGCCTTACTATGAAGAGTTTTGGCTATATTTCCATAGTTTATTTTATGTTTAATGTTTTTTTATAAAAGTCTGGCTAGCTTTACATTAAACCACCCTTTTCCCTTTCAAACCCTTTTCAAACTTTATACAAAAATTCGACAAATTTTCACTAAATTTTTAAACTTTTTATTCAGAATTTTTAGAAAACTGTCTGGTATGCAGTTTTGTAGCCCATTTAATTTTAGGATTATATAGTGGAAGTTTCAAGTGGCTAGAAAATACCGTTGATTTTTGACATTTATTTTGTTTGGGAAATGGGAAAAAATTCGTGACACCTTCAGCAAAAAAAAAAATTCTTAAAAATCAACGGTATTTTTAGCAAATTAAAGCTTGCACTTTATTATCTTAAAATTGAATGGGCTACGAAACTTCATACCAGAAATTTTTCTAAAAATTCTGAATAAAAAGTTAAAAAATTTGGTGAAAATTTGTCGAATTTTTATAATTCTTGTATAAAGTTTGAAAAGGGGACCTATATGGTGTTTGTTGTATAGCTAGCCAGGCTTTTGTACAAAAATATTAAACATAAAATAAACCATGTAAATATAGCCAAAACTCTTCAAATTAAGGCGAGTCTATTCTAATGGCCGCCAGTGTATGTATGTATGGTGGGGGAAAATATAAATAGTGAGGCGACATTTTAACCAGTTTTGGCTATTTTCTTTTTATTTATTATTTTTGTCTAAGAGCATAGCCTGCTATCTAAAAAAAAATCGGAATTTAAAAGTTTGTATAAAAATTAGGAAAATTCGACAAATTTTCGTTAAAATGTCGAGCTTTTTAATTAGATCTTTTAGGGCCAGTTTTAACTTAGATCACGTAATTTGCATTTGGGTGAATCCATTCCGAAATGACTTAATGTCAATTAACTCTAACTTTTGGCTTTCTGTGTGTGCCATTGACATTAATTCCAATGACATTATTGCACTACTTGCTAAGACTTAAAATATTGAAAATATTAAAGTAGTTATTTTGTTTTAAAAATTCTTTCATTTCTGCATTTTCTGCTACTTCTGTGGGTCATTTAAAAAAAAAAAATAAAAATAAGTAAATAAAACAAGAGTTTGACAAGAGTCCGACAATCTAAAAGCCACTGTTGTACTTTTCTGTCACTGCACTTTGACACGGCATGTTGCAGCAACGAGCGCATATCTATTTGCCACAGCTTAGCCGCATTTTGTGGCTATTACCATAATTGTTTCTATATGTATTTTTATGTATGTACTTGCATCTCTGTCAGCTGTGTTGTAGCAACAGCAGAAGACCAGCAACAGGCGCGGTAGTCACTCTGTTATTAGTTGCTCAGTTACTCAGTAAGTCAGTCAGCCATACTCAGTCAGACTGTCAGTCAACTGCAGTGAATTGTATGGTTTCCAATAGTTGAACCTACGCCTGCTTGTCGCTGCTGGAGACATTGTGCTTCCGCTGTTGATACCCACGAGCATGAGGGGGAATTTTCTTTTTGATTTCATACTTTCTTACTACTCTCATAGGTCTGGAGGGATACTCATGCCTTAGGAAGTGGTGGCAGAAAGAGAAGACGTAATAATCTGTGAGATGTTGCACATTCAGGCAGTGTTTTGAAACTTTGTCATTTTCTTAACATAATGCTGGATTTCCACTAGGCGTTAAACGGCGAAAATGACAAATGACAAAGTTGGGAACTAAAAAATATTCGTTTCATTACGTTAAGAAAATAGTCATTAAGTACATTTCCACATGGTATTTTTTTAAATGTCATACATTTTTTGTAATTTCAATGCCTAGTGGAAATTAGGCATAAGTGCATAAAAATATTTTCTTCAAGATTAAATATTGAGTTTAGTCTTGTGAAATCCATAAGTTTTGAGATACAAAAGTAAAATTGAAACCGAGTTTAAAGTTCCCTCTTATTAGCTGATACTAAAATGACTAGATCATTATATTTTCACTCTCTGACAGATCGAAATATTTTCACATTTGCAGAAAAGTCTGATATCTTCAGTCATTCAAAGATTTTTTTTTAAAGATCTTGTTTATCCTCACAAGAAAGGATTACTTCTTTGTAATCTGAACTTAACGCCCACAGTGCATTGTCGACGTGATGACGTTGAGGTGAACGACATACAACATGTGGCAGCTCCCTGCGGTGACTGTGATTGCTTCTTACGTACATACTATATCCATACATACCTCTGATGTTAATACTTCGGTCGCTGTTGCAATTGCATGTACATATGTACTCATGTATATACCCTGCAGGAAATGAGACTAGTTTGTAGCTAACTATTAACTAACTAGCAGTCGACGAGTGCTAACTATTTATTAACTATTTACTTTGGCCGTAACTAACTACTTTTGAAGGACGATGGCCGCAAAATTGTGATCACTGGTTTCCTCTGCATTAGGTGTCATCTGACTTGTAGCTATCTACTTTTGGACATAAACTATCAATAAAAAATATTTTTTAAATTTTTATTTATTTATTTTATTTAACATTACATATTTGCTTATTTGTTTACATGTTCTTTCGTAGGTGGTCTCACATTTGAATTTCATCTGACATAACATCAAAATAATAATGTTAAATTTCGATCTTTATTTTATTTGTCCTGAATTCGAAAAAGAATCTGCGAAGTGCAGAAAAAAGTGTATTGAAAGTATTTTTTGTAGGAGGATATTTAAACAGAAACTTGTAAAGGAAAAAAAAACAAAGTTAGTTTTGTCATAGCTAATTAAAAGTTAGATATTTATCGAAATCCCGAAAAAATCTAATTATAAAATGGTTATTTTAATCAATTGATATTTTTTTTCTGCAGGGTATGTACGTGCTTCTAACTATGCCATACATTGTTGTGGTGGCGCTGTTCTTTTTTTCTCGATTTCGCTTTAGTTTTAATCTGGCGGATGCTTTCTCCCACACAATGCAGGGGTAACCGTACCATAAGCGAGCATATGCTTTCCAATTACACTAGCATACGGTAAATGCATACATAAATATTTAAGTATACATATCGGAACGAAAGACCCAGCTTCGTTTTGCTGTAGACGGCATCGATCAAACATAGCAAGCAGAGAAGTGGCGAGTCGAAGGCGGCTTGTGTGTGTTGTGGGTGCTCATAATTGTTACACGTCTTTTAATCGCTCATCAAGATATGTGTCTGTAGAAAAAGACAGGTGACGTTCCACCGAAACTCGAGAGTGATTAGCTTGTTTTTCCGACTTTCAAATATCTTCGGTTTCGTTGAGATTAGTTTAACCAAGTTTGGGATGCGATTAAGCTGAAAATAGTCTAATCTATGAAGATATGTATCCCGAGTCTCTCCACGTGCCATGCTAAAGTAATGTAACTTTGCAGCATACCTTATCCGTTCTCCTCTGCTCAGCATAATGAGCTCCCTCGATCGTTTCAAGACTTATTCTGGTCACATGAATTTTGTCATGTTGCAGATATCTTTTCATGTAGGTATTTTCAACTTGGGCCTATTTTTGAGAAGAAGAACACTTCTATATTGAGCCTGCAGGTACCTAACCTCTTCCGAGAGGACAAACGTGAATGAAAGTGCTCTTCCTTGCAAGTACGTCCGTCATCTTATCCGAAAACCTGCGCTGTTGTGACTGATGAGCGCAAGGTATTGCTGAACGCGTCTTCTATTCCTTGTAGCTTAGTGATTTTTCGTTATGCGCCACGACTTTATGGAGCGCTCTTTCCGTGGAGTATTGGGTGGTCACAAGCATGTCCTCTCGATTATTATCAGATCAGAAATGAAAGAGGCATTGTAAACATTTCTAAATTCTGCCTGCTGGATAACACACAGCGATAGAGCGGAATGATTAAAATTGGTACGAACGGAGAAACTGCCTCAATTTTTGAAGACTTTGCAGTTTTCACAGACTGTTTATCATCCAAATTCCCGTTCCCCTGGATCAAAGGGAAAATATTGTTACATAAGAATTCGTTGGTTCTTATTGAATAAATTCCTCCATTTTAACCTGTTTTGAATTCGACGATCTCATTCTAAATTTTCGTTGTCATCTTTTCGATGCAATACTTAAACCCAGAAATCAATAATTTTAATAAATTAAATGGACAATCCATTTCACTTGCAACTGGTTACGATGTAATATGTCTTTAAACATGTTTACACTGGTGGGAAAAATGCCAGCTCTGTTTAAGAAATTCGTTAAGAAAATATTAAAATTTACACTACAGAGAATTTCTGATCAACACAATGAGAAAAACTGATTAATCATAGCATAGGGTGGTGGTCCAAAAATGCATGTGAAAAACTGAAGTCAGAATTTTTTTGCTCTCACCCCTAGGATTGATCTATACCGAAAAAATTTACCCCTATTTTTTAATTTGAATTTAGAATTTAATATTTAGAGGTCGCTTAAAGTGCTCATAGCTTTCCATGTATTTTATAATGAAAAAAAAAAATCTTTTCATAAAAACAGTGTAGAATTCTTAAAAATCTTTATTTTTCGATCAGAAAACTCTGTTTCTCTGCAGGAATTCCCAATAATAATACCCAATTGTCTATTTAACAATTTTTTCAAAACCCCGAAAAAATTCAATGGGGACCAATAAAAAATCGTTAGTATTAAAAATTAGTTAAAAAAAATTGGGTATTATTATTGAAAGTCTCCTGAAGAGCACAGGAATGCTATAAAATTTCTACGAATACCTCTAAAATTTTTTTACTTCAAAATAAAGAAATAGGCATATATTTGAGCATTAAAATTCCGACTTTACATTTTTTTTAGACCACCCTAATGTACATACAAACACATGCAATAAATTTGTACGTCTTCCCATGCCCATAGAACCTTATCTAGTCGACTTACTCCGATTCCTCCACTTCTTGTCGGCACTCACAAATTCTT